AAAAAGTAGAGTACTCAGTGGTTTGCTCAGAATTCCTGCTGTAAATAATAGAGGTGAAAATCCCAATTAATGGGAACTGCAAGGAGCTAGCAAGATTCCTACTGCAACAGTGCCTTCTCCTGCTTTTTTGCAGCAAGGTTAAATTAAGTAAGCACTTGATTAAGTAAAATTAATTAAGCACTTTCCTGGAGTGAACAGCCAGGATTCTTTGCAGTGTCCCAAACTGAAAGATGCTATGGATGTGTCACTTCTGACACCAAGAGCCCCGAGGAAATGCAGCACAGAGGATGGCAGAGCCAGCTCCCAAACCTCCACTCCCCCAAGCTGTGCCAAAGGCTCACAAGTGCAGCCCGGGTGGGCTCTGGGGAGCCAGGGCCAGCTGGGACACAGGGCCAGGCACTCCTGAGCAGATGTGAGCCCCAGGGCCAGCAGCTGGGCCAAGCCCCCGGGCTGCTCCACGCCGGGCACAAAGTGCTGCTGCTGCTGCAGGGAAATGCCAGGCAAGGAAGCCTTGGCAAGCCTGGCCTTGCAGGAGGGGATGCTCTGCACCCCAGCTGACCTGGGGACATGGAGATGGGATTTTTGATAGGACTATTACAATCTCAGAGCTTATAAAATGTATTTGGAAAGGTTTTCGTGTTGGTTTTGGGATAGGATACGAAGGCTCCAGGAATCCACTCTGAGGCCTTAAATCTGTGGCCAAACTCCAGCAAAAACCATATGTTGTTCATATCAGCACCTTTTGCTTTTCCCTTGCTCCATTTTCCAGGCCTGCACTGAGCACAGCCTTGGGGCTCCAGGGCTCAGGGACCACCTCTCACCTGCAGAGATCCAGGATAACAATGCCAACAACCCCAAACCTGATTTCTGTCCTTGCTGACTGTGCCCTGCTCGTTCCCACCTCCACAAGGGGAGCAGCACCAGGCTGAAGAACAGGGAGTGCTGGGCTCCACGTGAGAGAAGAGGCTCAGACTCCTCCTTTTGGAAGGAGGACATCCCAGCTGAGCTGCTCCAAGCAGGAATAAAAGCCCCCCAGCTGGAGGCTGGGACCTCCAGCACTCTCCTTGCACATCAGGGCAGCTGAGGAGGAGGATGGTGACAATCAGGGGCTCCTTTCACCCCGTGCTCCCATTCCTGCTCTCTGCTGCTGGCACCAGCTTTGGCTTTTCAGAGCTCTCCAGCCAGAGCTGGAGCAGTAACCAGCACCCAATTTAGGCTGGGTTGCAATAAAAAGTGAAAGTTAAAAGCAATGCAAGCAGCAGATAAAGAACTATTAAAATCTGGCTGGGGTGATGCCAGGGATGGAGTCCAAGGCAGGGGAGGAGCCACAGCTCCAAGCCAATGGGTATCCCACAGTGGTGGATAATTAAGGAAAACAAAATATTTTCCATCTGTTTCTTTACCCCTTACGTCACGGAGGCAATAAAATATACACACAAGTAAGCACCAACAGGCTGTATTTCAACTCAGATATAAATGTTTATTCCCAGCAGAGAACATCTTTACTCCAGTGAGTAGCCAGGGTGAGGAGGCTATGATTGGAACACCCTCAAGGTATTAAACTCCACCTTTGAGTAGATGAAATGCCTGGCTAATTTATCATGCCAAAGAGCTCAGTTTTATCCCCAAATCCACACTTCTGCTCACTCATCCTTATCACACTCTGATGGACAATTGCTAAAACCTGCTCCTTTTGGATTAACAGTGGTGCAAATAAGTGCTTGTGCTGATATTACATTAAAAATTACAGCAGGAGGAAAATGAAAGACAAAAGGAAGGGTGTGCAGAGCCCTGAGGACAAGGGCTGATGTTCTGGAACACCTCCTGAAAAGAGGGGAAGACAAACTGGAAGATCAGAAGCAGAATCCTGATGGCTGAAACCATCAACATCTAACAGAGACTGCAGGCCAAAGTGGCAACAAAAAAAAATGAGGCATATTTAGATGTTTTCAAAGCAAACGTGGGAAATGGTGAGCAAATACTCTGAGAGATAAAGCCTAATTAATGAAATCACTAAATAAAAATGTCTCTATTATAAATTGATTGCAAATAAAGCTTTCCCTGAAACAATACTCACTCCAAAATTCAAAGACTCTTAATTTGCACATCCATTTGAAGGCCATTTCAAGCAGTCTAGATTAATAGATGAGCTTTGAATACGTTACAAGCTTATAAAAAGATAAAGATTTGCAAAATGCCTCCTTTAAGCAGTGTAGGAAAAGAGCAGAAATGTCAATGCACACGCTGCCTGCAAATACCAGTGGTGTGTTATTTCTGTGCAATCTCTCAAAACACAAGTACAGACACTGAGGTTTCTGGATCTCTTGTAAGTTTAACAGTAGCTGGGAGCTCTTAGATCTCCAGCTATAATAAATATTGTATCCTACAGGAGCCCATCGGGAATCTCAGCTCATGTGTTGTTCCACAGAAGATTGTGGTGTCAGATATGATTAGAATCAACACTTCCCACTTATTCAGAGCTTTAAAGCTACCTACACACAGCATTAACAGCTGTTAATGAAAGATAATTAAGGGGCACACAAGAATCTCGTATTAATAACGAGTTTTTGTTAACTGGCACAAAACACCCAGGACAACAAGATGATTTTTTCCCCCCTAAACAAACCCGTGGTGTTTCTGTGCTTACACCATGCTCTATCCAGTGCAATTTTTCAGCTGATGTGAACTGAAGGTGCCTTTCCCAGCTGGAAGCTGGTGGCTCACACTTGAGCAGTGAGACACTGCAGGGGCTGCACTAATGGAGCCCTGAACACGCTCAGGCAGGCTGTGTGACACAGGAACAACTGTCTGGGAGCAGCAGCCTGTGCCAGGGACCATCACCAGGGCCCTGGGGGCCCCTGCAACTCATCTTCCTGTGGGAAGGAAAACCCCATCCCCTGGATGTGCTTCTGGTGCTGGGGAGGTCACAGCTCACCCAGGGAGCTGTGGCATCAGCAGGGGAACTGCTGGGCCAAAAATCACCTGGGCCAGGTGAACAAGGAGAGCAGCACCTCCAGGACCCTCAGCTGCTCAAAGTCAACACAGCAGGGCCTGGGAAAAAAAAGCTGATTTTTGCTGATTTTTGATTTTCACTTGTACCACTGAAATTGCTGATTTTTGATTTTCACTTGCACCACTGAAATCAGATGCATGCAGCACTGGTTTTTTTAGCTGATACAGGCTTGTTTTGAAATGCAACCATTTTAAAAGAGATGAATTGCTTCAATCACTATCAGACTGCTCAGCTGTACCACAGGCAAACTGGGATGAGGAGTCTCCTCTGTCCCTTGCAGGGCAAAGCCACCCCACATCACCACGTTGTGCTGTGGGGAGTGAGCTGCCACCTCCAGAACTGACTAAACCACCCACAATCATCACAGGGTGGAAAATTAAATCAGCATCTAATGATTCTTCTGCCTTTCACTCACTGCTGCCGTGCCTGTCCTCTCCAGTGTACTCCTCCTGCCTCCAGAAAACACCCACCAGTGTTTCAAGACATTAATGCTGCTCCGTGGATCCCTGCAGCTGAGTCTTTTCCCAGTCCAGGCAATGATCCAGCAGCAAGTGCCCCATCAGTAGTGTCAGGTCACTTCAGTTTCTCCTCTCATCTCCCCAGTCTATAGGGCATAGCTGCTTGCAGATGGCATCATGTACACTGCATTGGCATCTTGGAGCCTGGCAGAGTCAGTTCTGTCTTAAGGCTCTCTTCAAAAATCATCAGATAACATTTTCTCAAATTAGATGAAATAAATCAAGTTGAAAACATCCTAAGTACCAGAATTTTGCATTATGCAGCTCATGCACACACACACTTAGCAAGGCAGATGAGCTGGATGGAGAGAGCAGGAGCACATGGGAAGAAACAAAGATACCTGAGATATCCCACATGCTGTCACTGGTCAGGGAATAGTGCAGAAAATGTTATGCAAATAGGTAACATAATAAGCATTTTAAATAGATACATTAACAGGATCAGCACAGAAGTTATCCCAGGAAAGAAACATAACTTAAACTCATGTAAATTTAGGCTGACAGGATGAGTAACTACAAACCAAGCAGTGCTGGGCTGGTTTTTTTGTGTGACTGAACAGGTGATGCCCCCTAAGAGCAGCTTGTTCTCTGCCCATTATTAAAACCTCTCAATTACTGTGAAGAACAGCCCAGGGGCCAAACCCCTTCCCTGCCTTCAAAGCTCAGCATTATCCTCTGCAGCCCTGAGTGCAGTCTCTATCTGCCACAACAAACCACCTTTATCCCAGGCAGGTAATTACAGGCTCGGGTCAAGGACTGCAGCCAGGATTGATTTCATGGCCCTGCAGCGGGGCAGCCCTGACACCAGAGCTCCTGCAAGGGGAGCCCAGCCCTGCCTCAGCCTGGCATTTATTGCCCGTGGCAGCAGGGACAGCCTGGGAATTCACAGTGCTGGTGACTTCATCTGCCAGCTGCATTCACACATCTTTACTACCTGAATAACTGATCTGCACTGCTCCCAGGCAGCACTTTGTGGTGTACAGCGTTTGGGAATGAATATTTGATTGTGCACACAACAGAAAGGAGCTCAGATGGTTTAAGGTGTGACAGCAGAAGTGTTTATTAAATTCCAAGTGAGAGCATTGCTGGACAGTAAGAATTTGTCCCATGGTCTGTGCCTCCCAGGTGTGGTGATGAACAACAAAAGGACAACTCCCTCCCCCACAAAGCCCCAGTCAATTCTTCTTTTCATTAAACCTCTGCAGGCAGAACTCTCTGTCCATGACCAGCCAGTCACACACAAAGAGAGGGAAGTACTAAATTACAAGCTGATTTTAAGTGGGCATTGATTGAAGTAACCAGAAGAGAGCTTAGTACTGTCAGAGTTTCATACAACAGTAATAAACAATCTTCATTAAAAAATGATGTGTGCATCCCCCTGCAGCACAGCACTCACCAGGTTTCAGTTGAGAACATTAAGGTTCCCTCCACCCCACACACAATTAATGAGGAAAAGAATCCTCAGGATCTTTTTCTTCTACAAATTAATTTTATTCATTAAATAATGCCACTCACTGAAATCCTTCCCACTCAATTTCTGTACTTATTCTAGGCAAGAAAGAAATAGATTTATGATTCTATTCTGTGATCTCCTCCCAGCAGGAAAGGAAGAGGTTGATGCAAAAAAAAGAGATCAGACAATTCCTCTGTCAATGTTCTCATCCTCCACTAGCAATGCAACCAAATCATTACTTGGCTGATGGGTAAGAGTCCAAAAGCTTTGTGTGAGGGAACAAACAAGGCTTTCCATGCAGACACACAGACGCAGCCACTTCTCTTAAATGAGCAGCACTGAGTCACTGAGCACACCTGAGGACCTGAGCCCACACCTGGGGTGCAGCTGAAGGGAACACTCAGTGCAGCCGTGTGGGCAAACCCACTGACCAGCAACTGCTGCAAAATCCTCTCCCTGGAGCTTTCCAGCTCTGGAAGCTCAGAGTTGACTGTACAGATACCCTAACCTGCCCATACCCCTGATTTCTGCATCATTCATTACTCAGAGAGCCCCACCAGGTTTGTTTTTTCAGATATGTAACACATATGATGATGTCATTCCTCCACAGGTCAGAGAATGAAAATTCACAGGTGCCTGGTCGGTGTGGGTGTGTAAAGAGTGTGACCATCACCTGCACACAGGAGGACTCTTGAAGGTTTCTCTTTCATTTCTGGGCTCATAAATAGAACTGGACTTGCTAAGGCTTAACCCACCTGTGTCAAGCCAAGCCCAGAGCCTGAGCACAGCTTTGGGGAGGAGGGACAGACACCTCTGCTGCTGCACACAGTGAGCAGCTCCTACCTGTGCAGTGGCTCTGCTGCTGCATTATCACCAAAGGCTTCCTGCTTTACAAAGATTTAAACTCACTGCTGTCCCCCTCTAACATTTCCAGCTGCCAATCTGGAACAGCATCTGGAATTACAGTGCATTTAATCCTTGAGGGTATATTCTCTCTCTGATGCATATGACTCAAATATGTGCACTGAAGGACAAGTGTCCAGTAGCTTTAGGTGACTGAATTCTTGCAAACTTTTCTTGAAAAAAATAAAGCAGAGAAGAGTGTCTTAGGAGAATTTTGAGTTGGGAGAACCATATAATATACCATATAATATGGTTGACAGAACCACTGTAATACACATTTTTAAAACATATCCAAGTAACCTTTACAGATTCAGCCATCCACCTTGAGAATGCCACTGTAAATTTTCATCATTGATAACAGCATTAGAATTTTGCACTTTTTAAATGAAGACTTTTCCAAGTGATCTTATGAGACTGTCCTTAGCACACCACAGTTTTACAGACACATGAGGAAAAAGCCATGCTTAAAAAAACAAGGCACACAAATAAATGCAACAACAGAATTGTCACCAACGGGGGAGAAGGAAGGAAGCTATTGGGAATGGCAGAAGGATAATGGAGATGATAAACATGTACTTGGAGTCTTTGGATAGGAAGGAGAAGTGATGAGTCAGATAAGCAGAGGCGCCACTCGGGTTGCATCTCCAAGCAACAGGCAATCAGAGCTCCAGATAAGCATCTTCATAAAGTGCAACAGGCTCCAGTGCAGGGGCACAGCTGAGCAATCACTTCCTGGGTCAGCTCAGGCAGCAAAAATTTATGAGCTACTTCAAAATCCTTGGAACCTAAAAATGTCTTTTTTCCATAAAGAACATCAGCTGTGTAGGGCACGGCGTGGGAAGAGCAGGAAATGAGAATACTCAAAGTGTAGAATGGAACACAAAAACCCAGTGCTGTACAGGAGTGGTGTTAAAGCCAAACCCTTCCCATCCACAGCTGAGATTAATGGAGTTTGCTGCACATCTCAGGGGTGGGAGGAGAAGAAAATAAGCATAAAAGACTCTTCTTTCTTTTGCTGGGCCCTGGTACAAGAATAGTTTGAAATCTCAAAAACAGTGTACATATTTTCCTTGTGTCTCCTTTACTCTGCAACAATTCACACCCCTAAACCATCACACTATTTAGAATCTGAACCCCTAATTCTGCATGGGAAAGAGTGAGGATCAGGCAACACAAAACCTGCAAAGAGATGCTAAAATCCCTGCATCAAAAATCAATTCCAACCCAACCTTCCTGGGTGAAGTAAATAAAATATTGCCATCAGCATGTCCCTGACAAAACCCATGTATTGTTTACAAGAAACTTATGAAGTGTTACAACCCAACTGAGTCACTGCTGTACAGTAAATATATTTTTAGTGTCCTAACAATGTATACAATGGATTTTGGCAATTTTAATATAGACACACATGTTAAAGGCATTACAAACGAGGCTTCATCACATTCACATGAGTCAGGTCATATTAAAGCCCCATCCACACCTCAGGAAAAGTTGTTCAGCACGGAAGAGGCACAGTCCTGTGCTTCCATTGTTTCTGTTGCAGATGGAGTAACACAGCTTTAGGAAGTGTTGCAGTTACAGAACGATCACATTTCAGAATTACTGCACATCCCTGTTACAGGTGAAGGACTGCTCCTACACAGGAGGGAAATCCCCACCCTGATAATGCTGAGATCTCTCTCTGCATCAGCTGATAGTGAGGCACAGCTCTCCATTAATCACTCACCATCTCAAGTGTCACATACACACCCTGAAGCACTCCTGTGATTCCAACTTGGAACCTTTTAGGAGCAACAACTATAGATGAACTAGGCAAAAAAAAATCATAACTGATGCATTAATATTTTCTTCTGTATCAAACAATTATTTTCAAAATTACTTTGCCATGTAGTAAAACAAACAAAATTCCCCTTCAATAACCAACACCAGATGTTTGTCTAAGCCCAACAGGAATTAATTTAACAACTTTTAAATATTTGAAATGGAATTTATAAGGACAATTCTCAATATCCAAAGTAAATGTGGTTACTATTGAACTCTGTTATAAACACATATATGAAATATCCTGTAATACCCAAATAAATTCATTTGGCAAACAATGAAGTATCTTGGACTCAGCATTTATATCAAACAGCAAACAGAGTCTGAAACAGGAGCTTTTATTTTAACTCTCTTTAAAGCAACCTTCAGAAACCCCTCTCTGTATGTGTTACAGTCTCTTTTTACAGTTTAACCTCAATCCAATCAGGAGTCTCCAGGGATTTTCAAATCACTGAAGATTAAAATCCTCTCCGACTTGACTGTTTGACTAATGCTGTGTGTTTAATAATTCTACTTGTGAGAGATTTTATTTGACAAAATCCTGCTGTGTGGACCCTCAGACGCTGTGCAGCTGCACTGGAACATAAAGCTCTGCTGCTGCTGCCCTTGTTTCTTTAGACAGGCTATTCCCCAGCACTGAGGGGAAAAGAGAACTTTATAGCACATCTATTACTCTGTTGATATTAACACAACCACTGTAGTATTAAATCTACACACTCTTTTCAGAGCAGAGCAGTGAAAATGTGCCTATTACACAAACATTAGATAAACTCTCCTGTTGTCCCAAGTGCTCACAGAAATCAATTACATTTATGATTACATTTCAATGAAAGCTACTTTATAAATGAGATGGAACTGTAATATTCTATGCTTTAGGCATTCATTAATAAAAGCATTTCAGTGTTAGTATTTGTAAATGTTCTGCTTTTTAGTTTAGGCAATTTTTAGCATTCTAGAGCTCATGTTAAACTTTACATAAATAGTGTGTCCAGATCTTACCACAATGATGTGAATTTACATTTGGTAAGGGAGGGGAGGGAAATAAAAATCATCATGAGGGCAGGACTGAGTATTTGTACGAGACAGCACTTACCCTGTGGTGCAGAAAACCAGGACAACCTCGATGGCAACGATTAGTACACATATTACCAGCCAAAACAAAAGAGCAGGCTGATGAATGTGGGGCAGAAACGAGGGTGCTCCTACCTGAAGTAGCATCGATGACCGTGGAGACGCCGCGGCGGTCGGCCGCGGGCCGCGGGGACCCCGGCATGCTGACGGGCTCCGAGCGCACCGGCTGGATCCTGCCAGGCACACAACCACACGTCAGCCAGCCTGAAAAACACCCTCACGGCCAGCAAGTCCAACCCGTGACCCGGCAGATCCTCGTCAGCTAAAGCATGGCGCTGAGGGCCACGTCCAGTCCTTTTCTGAACAGGTCCAGGATGGGGACTCCAGAGAATTCACAGCCACCACCTCAGGTGGAGCCAATCTCACCCAAACAAGAATAACCTGGGACAAGCAGCAATTTAATTGTGAAATTGCTTAAAAGCCGTTGGAAAGTTCTGGTTTCCCTTGCTTGGTGCACCTGAGATTTGGATAATCTGCCTAGAGACTCAAAGTGGGTATTCCCAAAGAATGGCTCAGATGGGAGCTCTCAGGAAGCCTCAAAGGAAAAAGATCACCCTACCCTACCCAAACCTGGTTAAAAAGCCTCCATTACCCTCCTCAACAGCAGGATTTTAAAGACCCATTTGCAATTATTGATTCCTTTTGTAACATAGATCTGTGGTACTTCTTTTTATTTCTGCTTTCTTTCTATGTGTATACGTATATAAAAAAGAAATTGACAGTCACATCCTTACTCATGGCAGTAATTACACACAAGGAGAAATCACACATTTCAAACCCGTGGATTTCCAGTCCAAGGACAATCTGCCCACTTTTCATGGGACAAGTCATGTTATCCATCTCTCTTGCTTTACTCCTAAGAGTTTCAGACACAGTCCCAAACAATCCAAGTCCCTACCACAGAACTTTGGACTTCAAATCACATGCAGAGTCAGGAGCATGGAAACTTGTTAAATCTGGAGTTACTGGGCAGGACACAAACTCTTGGAGCATAAATCTCTTCTACAAATCACCAGTAAATGTAAACCCACAGTTACCTTCGCTCTCCTTCCTTCCATTCCCTAAACCCACCCCCTGCCCCCAATTCCAAATCATCTAATGCCCAAAACCAGATGAATTAAATACATGAAAAAGAATTACAAGGAAGGAAAAAAAGGAGTGGGAAAAAAACAAAAACAGGGAGGAGGAAAACATTCCAGAAGTTCACTTACTGTTCCAACACACTGACCGCTGTCTAAATTCATGGCACAAAGCTCCCACTCACGTCTGAGAAAATGAATTTATTAAGCAATGCAGAAACTGTGAAAGGCAAGAGGACACTGAGCAAGGCCAGCAGACTTTGTGCTGTCTTTGCCTAAGACAAAGACTAAGACAATGTGCCCAAGAAGGGACAGAGAAGGAATCTGAGCTGCTTGGCCTGGACTGATTTTTCTCACTGGCGCATCACACGCTCTTCCAAGACTTTCCTCTGGACAAGCCTGATAAAAACTGTGACACATCCCACACACAGCAAATGTCAGACAGCTGGGAAATAGGTTTGATTTTCACCTGAGGCTGTTGAGATCGAGATCATCTGTGTCAAAGTCCAGCAGAGGCTGCGGGGTGTCGCTGGGCCCGTGCGACTGCAGCACGGAGGAGCTGGAGGAGATGACGGTGGTTTGGCCAGAGGGGTGGATGGTTTTGAACTGGAACTGGGGGCCCATCCACAGGCGTCGATGAGGCCCAGTGTGAGTCACAATTTCCACCTGTGGGAAGGGATATGGGCAGTGATTAACACAGAGCTGCAACTCCAGATAATGAGGGGCTCCTTTGGACTCCTGGAATCCCGCTGTTCTCAAGGGTGTTCTGAGCCAGGGTGTTTGGAGGGATGTTTCACAGAGCAAAATTGGGGATGTATTTGCTGGAGAATGATGCTTCAGCCAAAGCCAAGAGCTTCTTGCAGAGACTTGAAAGCTTGTGAACCACCAGCCTCAGGACACTGAACTCCAGCTCTTAAATTGTTCTGAAGATCAAAGCTTCATCCTGGCCACCACTTCACCTGATCCTGTTCCTTCCTCCCCTTGCCATGATGAAATACACCCCAAAACTCGAATGCTATGACCAAAAGGGAACACATTTCTGCCTGAATCTGCATGGAGCAGAGAGGGGAACCCAGAGCCCACATGCCCCAGACATCCCCCATCCTGAGCAGGGCGAGGAAAGAGCTTCCAGAGAGCTCCCTCCAGCTTTGTTACAGCTGCTTGGTGAGAGTTCACAGCTTCAACTGCTTCCCATGGATACAGTGAGAGCTGGAGTGCAAATCACAGCTCCTAATTCCTGCTGGCACAGTGAGGAGAGGCTGGCACAGAGCATCTTGTGGGAAGCACAAGATCCATAACCCAGAGCCATGGGCAGAGTGCTGGGATGAGCCCAGGTCGTGCTGAGCACAGGAACACAACCACGGATGTGCCACACACAGGATCCACACAAACACATCCATTTAACCAAAACTCTGACAATTCAGCAGAACCAGGGTGTTTGTGATCAGGAAAACTGTAAATAAAGGGGTAAACAAAGCATACAACTTCTGTAATCAAGAGAATAGAATCATTAAGGCTGGAAAGATCACGCAATACAAGACTAAAAATCAAAAAGAACTTTTAAAGATCAGAAAAATGAAAGATAAAATGAAATTATTAAGCTCTAGTCAACTTATACTTTTATGAAGTACCTATCAATTTCTGCTAAAACAATAATCAGCATCACAGCAGAAACGCAAATTAGCAAGGGAATTAATGAAAACAGATTTTTGTATAGGTACACAGATGTACACCAGTAGTGATTCTCCATCTTTAAGGAGCAATTTGAAACCCTGGATGATGTCAGTTCTCTGCTAATGTCAGACAACAACCCCAGCCCTTGCAGCTCTGTTTCCATCTTTGCATTTAGCTCAGCCTAACTCAGCTTGGCTGCAGCCCTTTCTGAGGCAAGTAGCTTTTATGTAGCAGCGTAAATTAGGCCACAGATAAAGTAATCTGTGTATTTTAAGCTTGAAACCATCAGTGTCACAGAGCCGAGAGGTAAACAGATGCCTCTGCAATTTCACTGAGGCTATGGCCAGATGTTCCTATTCACTCTCCTGTTGTGTGCAGGACAAACATATTGTATCTACTTCCCACTGACAGCACACATTACCCACTGTTCTAATTGAATAGTTGAAGTGAAGGGCGGTGTTTTTTCACTGCTTGCTGTTGCTGTTGATAACAACACTTTAATTTTGAAAAACATCCTTGCACTTTAGGCTTAATCTGAAGTGGCTTGCTCGGGGAGCAAGCGTCGCCGTGCTCCAAGGGCTCTCATCACTCCTGCTCTCAGCAGGAATTAAACAGTCCAGGAGCATTCTCAGAATTATCCCTCTTCTGTGACATCACTTGGGATTTTTATTTCCCTTTATAAATTTATTTACTCTTCTGGAGGGATGGATGTGGTGAAGTTTGAGCAGTCAAAGTTCTGTTGACATTTCTTCCAAGAAATAGTAATAAACAAACAGCCAGAATGTAAGTTTACCATAATCTCTTTTTCCCTGCGGTTTCACCAGAACAGTAAAATAAGGAAGTAACTCCAAACATTCCTGGAGAGGTGGAAAACTACAGGTGAAATCTGCTCCCAATGAGCTCAGAGATAAAATTCCTGCCCTGACTGAGAAGTTTCATCATCTTTGTGCTCTGAGAAATCAGCCACAGCACAAACAAATGAGACACCTCAATGTGCAGCCACATCTGAAACCTCAGACAGGTAAATGAACTCCCATGACTGGATTCCCCAGTGAATGCTCACCCTGGGCAGGTCCGTGTGGAAACCTAACCTCTCATTTCAGAAAAAGCTGTGTATGATTTATTCACCAGTGGGAGAAGCAAATCCCATCCATAAATATTTCATATTTATGCCATACACCCCAGCAACACATTTAATGCATCACTCCCATAACAACATTGTTCTTAAACCAGAGGAAACCCACCTAATTTGTCAGGGTGAATTCCATGGATCAGGTACCTTGTAATTGCTTTGGCAAATCCACAGCATTTGTAAATTTAATTTATTTATTTAACTCTAACCTTTCATTTCTAACAGGAACTAATTCTCAGTGTATTATTCATGACCTACATTCTTACAGTGAGTTCTGTTTTGAGCCAAATGGTCAAATATTTACTGAGTTCTTCTAGAGAAGCTTCATTGACTGAGACAAAGCAAGATTGGATAACAAGACAAAGATTAGACCTCATATAAAAATCCTCCACCAAGCATGATAGTTTTAAAGGAATACAGTATTTCTATCTGGCCAGAAGTCAGGAATTCCTACAGGAATTCTCAGTAGGAAATGATAACCAGGGAAGGAAGGAAGCAAACCAGCTAGTGCCCCATTTTTATGGTCAAAGGAAGGGCCCCACCATTCTGCCACCTTCCTTCATCCCTGCCCAAAAAGGACCAGGAGAAAAAGGGATGCAGGTCACTTGCTGTTGCCAGCTGAAACTTCCCCTTCCTGCTGGGCTTCCCAGGGATGTGATTGTGTCAGGAATTCTGGGGCTTGGTCTGGTTTGGGACCATCAGATCCCTGCCCACGCTCAGCAGCGGAGTCAGCTCCACACACAGCAACACCCTGGCTGTTGGAAGTTTCCTCCCATTTGGAGGAAAGTGATGAGTTTTGCTTCCAGTGGCTCCCAGGGGTGTTTTGGTGGCCTGGAAGCCCCCAGAGCATACCTGTGACAGCCACTCCTCATCCTCCTGCCCGCTGTGGTCAGAGGCCAGGCTGTCGTAGGACTCGTGCCGGGTGATGGGCCCAGGGCTCCCAGGAGGCACCACTGGAAAAAACCCACAAGACACAAAATCAGACCTAGTGTTAAATGAATTTAAAAAAAAGCTTTTAAAATAAGTTAATAGCACAGCAATGTGTGTTTTCCTAAATCTGTGACAACAAATTTTTTAGGAGTGCAGAAAGAGCTCAAATATTGACATGAAAGGGATGAAAAGAGTCCTGCTCTTTGACTTGGATGTATCCATACAGCCACCAGGATAACCCAATGGCTCCTCTTCTTTTAACGTGAAGTTCTTAAAATACCAAAGTATTTTTACATTCCCACATTTTATAATCAAGGTTTTGAAAATTTTTTAAAACTATTATTATTGCAGGGTTGACCTTTATGTGTCAAGCTTCCAACCACTACAAATTTTTACAGCCATGTACTAAACCCCCAATAATTGGAGTTTTAATGGCAAAGCAGACACAATGGTAGCCATAAATACAGAATGGTGCCTCTGTAATGCAAACAGCTTTGCAGAAATCCATACACTATACGGAATAAAGAGATTTCCATCCTGTTTTGTGTGTCACTATCTGAAGCTACTGGATCACAGAGTGTCCATATTGTCAAACCTGCAACGTCCCAAATTCAGCTCAGGGCCCAACTTAGTCCAGAATTATTCCAAGTGCCACAAAAATTAGGACATATTCTTAAAAAGGAAGCTCGGGTTGGATATTAGGAAAAATTTCTACACTGAAAAGGAGTGGTCAAGGAATGGAAGAGGCTGCCCAGGGAAGTGGTGGAGTGACCACCCCTGGAAGGGTTCAAACAAGCAGAGATGGCACCTCAAGGTATGGTTTAGTGGGCATGGGTTGGACTTGATGGATTTGGAAGTCTTTTCCAACCTTAATGGTTCTGTGCTTCTATGATAAAGCACCAGTTTTTATATTAGGAAGAAATTCACCCCTGTGAGGGTGGGCAGGCCCTGGCACAGGTGCCCAGAGCAGCTGGGGCTGCCCCTGGATCCCTGGCAGTGCCCAAGGCCAGGCTGGATGGGCTTGGAGCAACTGGGACAGCGAGAGGTGTCCCTGCCATGGCAGGGGGGGAATAAAAGATCTTTAATGTCTCTGCCACCCCAAACCATGCTGAGGTGCTGTGACCTGCCACTTTCCCTGCAATCCCCAGTCTGTGCCTGTGCACGCCCCTGCTGACAGCCCCAGGTGTCATCTCAGCTTTGTCTTCACCAGTTTTCAGACAATACAGCAACCACCTCCATCTGCTTCCTTACATCCATGAGAGACTGAATGGCATGCTGACAGCCCCAGGTGTCATCTCAGCGTTGTCTGCACCAGTTTTCAGACAATCAGCAACCACCTCCATCTGCTTCCTTACATCCATGAGAGACTGAATGGCTGAGGGACGTGTCTGTCTAGTCCAAACTCCTGCTGGAGAACTCACACTCCTTCCTGAGGATCCACAGTACAATCTCAATTTGAAATCACAGCACCCACTTCTCTCCCTCAAAGTTTGTGCTTGAAACCAAAGAAACAAGCCCATTATTTTGACTCATTGTGCTGTTGCCCTCATGCTCCCCACATCTCCTGGCTCCCCACTCTGGACCCTCCTGCCTGTTTCAGAGAGCACAGCTGATCAACTGCAGGCTCTCCTTTTACTGAACTCCCTAACAAACTCCATGGCTCCAGCAGATGGTTTTGCTTTCAAACCAACAGGAACTTTATGGACTGATCTGAATTTTTTTTGTTCTTTCTATCCCAAGGGCAACTACCAGAGCTGTCAAGATTAGGGAAGCTGCAAAACCACAGCCCAGGGAGCAGCATCCCCCCTGCTTGGTCGCTGTATTTCTCCCTTGGGGAATACTTTTACATTTTACTGGAGATTCAAGATGGCTTTACAGTGAGAAAGAAATTTGAAAAAAACAACTGGAAAGCTGAACAAATGATTCGTTTTGGTGCTGCACTGGAAGCCTTTCCCTGAGGAGCCACAGGTCTTGTGTTTCCACGCAGCTTCCGAGCACAGCATTAACTCTTTCCACCCAGGAGTGATGAAATGCTGAATTCCATGGAAAAGCTCTGCCTGAGAGTTCAGCAGCAGGGCAGCAGTGATAAAGCCTCAGCTGAGGTCAGCCCTCAGTCATTTATTTGGCTGTTTAATAAAGCAGCATTTCTGTGCCACACCTAGCACAAAAGCAGTTTGGAGGGGCTGCTTGGGATGGGGGAGCCCAGCTCACCACCATTCCCAGTGGGAATGTGCAGTGTGCTGGGAGAAGTGACCTTATCAGAAGTGATCCTGGCTGGAGAGCTGCCATCCCTGTGCTGCCTGTTACACATCTACATATGGGCACATTTTTCCATGGTGAAAATGCCCTTGAAGCTGTAGGAACAAACACAGTGTAAAAATGTAAAGCCCCCTTTTCCTTTTTTCCCCCTTTTCCTTTTTTTCCCCTTTTCCTCTTTGCCCCCTTTTCTGGGCACACACCTCTCACATCCATATCAAACTCCAAGACAAGATTAATTTAACCCTGGAAGGACATTTCCAGGAATTCAGGCTCAGGAGTAATCTCTTATCTTCCAGCTTAATTCTTTGAAAATCTGAATTCACACTGGAAATTACAACACACTCTCACCCATCAGTGAGGTTATTCTGATGCTGCAGCACGGAGTATTTTAAATTTATGGAGAGTTTCCCAACCATGCAGGATAACAAGTAATAAAATTCCAATTCTTGCAAAGCTTTGTAGCAAATGTTTTTTACTGGTCCTCCTGTAATTTCTCTTTCATTGGAAAAGTCACAAATGGAGCAGACACAGAGCAGGAGCAAGAAAGCCTTGGCTGCACAGAGATATTTTACTGCAATTGCAGGTGGCTTGTACCTTCCTAAAATAATCAATTCAATGCCTTACGTCTGAGCTATGCTAAATTTTAACTTTTTCTGCTCTCACACCAACATCTGGAACAAACACATCAAATATCAGACTCCAAATGAGTCTGTTTAACCTAGAAATACACAAAGTGAAAAAGTACAAAAAATAAGTGCTTACTAAAAATCTAAGGTGAGAATTCAAACACACAGCTTCTGTCTGTGCAGTATGACAGGACATGAGTTCCTACAGTCTGCTTATTAAATCAATCCAAAATTCAAAATTCAAGGACACTTCTGTAAAACTGGACTGATACCTAGAGCAAAAATCAGAGTTTTGCCATCAATATTTGGCAAGGGGCAAAAAGGATCTTTGAGCTGCTCAGAAGTAACAATGGCACCTTTCCTCTGTCCTCCTCCAAGCCTCCCTTCTCTGCACTGACAGGGCTGATGTTACCATTCTAGTGAAGGAGGATTGCATCTGGAAAAAGCACATTGCAAATGAAGTTATTTGTGTGATAATTGTTAGTGCCAGGAAAACTGCACAGAAGGGACTGTGGAGACACAAGTGGCAACACAAGCCAAAGCAAAGGCTGAAATGCAGCAGAGCTGATATTCCCCTGGAATTCCAGACCTGATTCACACAGGTCCATGAATAAGTATGAAAAAATCCCCTCATTGTTTAGAAACTTCTCCCTGATATTTACTGACAAGTAGAGAAAACAAACAATTTGTATTAATCTCAAATAATTTGCACAGACATTCCTGCCACGAGAGCAAGAGCTAGATAAATACACACTGGAGGAATACTGGAATTAACACACAGTGGGTTTGTTCATGGATGGGCTAATTATACAATAAATACCTAAAGCTAAGACAAGTCTTTCTTCAAGGATTATAAATTATCATCTTTCAGCAGCATAAAAGTGTTGGAACAAAGAACCACTACAGTTCAATTGTAGTGTGTGCACTTATGGCTTTAATTTGGGAACAATAAATCATTAGTTTTACTTAGTTTTGTGTACTTCTTGAACCAAAAGGTTTTAATTTTCTCATTTATAGAAATAAGCTTTGCACAATTCAATTTAATTGAGAGTTATATATGAAATTCCCAATGTGCTGTTCTCTAAGGGCTGCATGTTTGTCCAAATTAAGAGCAAACAAAGGCATCTGAGCACCACAAAGCCTGTTTGTTTGGTGCTGCCTGCTGTGCACATGCCTGCAGACACCCAGAGAGCTTGCCTTTTCCATCTCCATAATTATAATTTAATAGAATTAACGTTAATAACGTCAAATGAGTTTCTAAAATGCAGTAGGAACAGGACAATGTACTCTTAAATAACCCCTGCAATCTCCAGTGATGTCTGTGGTGAACAGGTACACAGGATAAAAATGACATAACCCTTGTTTTCATAGAAACCCCACCTTAACACCTGATTTTGATGCTTTTTCTCTGGTTCCTCAGGTACATCTAGGTGCTGCAGAGACCTGAGGTAATCACACGATTGCAAACCAACTCCAGGGGTCCTTGTGCTGGAAAACTCAGCTCCACAATTTGAATTATTTCCTTCATGCTTTGTTCCACAGCAGGATGTGATGGTTCTGGTTCAGGTCTCCATGGAGCCACACCAAATTCACCAATTCACCATTCTTCCCTGTTTCTGATGTGATCTCAGCTCTGTCAGGGGGTGCTTTTGGTGTCCCACCCTTGTGGAGCTCACATCCAGCACAGGCTGTGTGGGTTTGTGTCAGAGCTGGTGCTCTGTGCCTCTGGCTCTACCCCTGCTCAAGTGTGACAACAAAGCAAAGGCCAGGATTTCATTTTGGCCAGAACACTCCCAGCCCTGTTAACAATAAACTGTTTGTAGGCTGGAGATATGCTCCATGTAATTTTTCTTGTGGCTGCACGTTCCTGAACAAAGTTCTGGTTTCAATGCAGTTTTCAGCTTGTAAACTCCCACAGGAGCATGGCACGCAAATTAAAATCTCCTCTTTTACCCAAAACTACTCCCTGCTCATTTTTTTCCTGTTAGGACTTTCTGAGATTCTCAAACGCATAAATATAATAAAATTAAGCTTAAAAAGTGCCATAAAGCAGGAGTTTAGCCAGACTGACAGTTACTCCACACCACCAATTGATTAGAGCTGGATTCATTCATTATTTGTGTACTGTCCACAGTTTA